AACACTGAGTATAGCACGGACAGACTATCTTCACGTGCAAACAGCGGCTCGCGAATCATTCGTTTTTTCTTTGTGGTGTTCAGTTACCTTAAAACTGCACACAGACACACACACACACACCGCCCAAACGCATGTCTGCCGAGAATAGGTTAAACTGTCAACACGATTATTCTGATACCGCCATCGGTTTGGGTTTATACTAACTCACTATATAAGGGTAGTAATTTTCGTTGAATAATCCCTTGTGTTGGGTGAAACAAACCGTCAGAAAACCTGATAGAGGCTTCACTGTTTGGACTTCCTATAACTCCAACAATGTAATAGTCAATGTTGGTCAGAATTGAAAAAAATCAGGTGGCTCTGCTTTGTTTAGATTTTGATGCAGAACTAGCAATTCAATCCAGCCTTCATTTCATCTTAAGCTTACAAAAGTTTGACAAATATAAGACGAATAGGTACTGTAGGCATTGTGGCCATTTAAAGCGGTGCGTCAAACATCGATTGTATTTCGTGACAGACCTCAATCGCCAAATGCCACCGAAACTCCTCAAGGGAAAATACAACTATTCAATTGTGATTATAGCCAATCAAACAAATTTCATTTATCACTGAAGGAAGTTCAACTGTTCAACATTTCTATGATTACTGGTGTTGTAATTAAACCGTTCAGTTGCGTTGATGTGTGATCTCAGGGCCAGACAGAGGACAATTACTTTCACCTAATTACAAGAGAAAGACGTGGCTGTGACATCCTGCACATATCAAACCAGCCCCCCCCCACCAATGCTTACGCTCCTCCCTCCACCAGCACGTGGCCACTAGTCGTGATCCATGATGTAAATACCACCTGTCTGAGTCAGCAGGAGTTTAGTTTCAACATGAACCCTGAAACACAGGGTCCCGTGTGAGTGTGTGTGTGTGGGTTTGTGCGTGCGTATGCATGTATGCAACCATATACATCAAAACAGTGAATAACGACTGTACAGGCGTTTGTCACAACCTTCAAGGAAAATCAGTTCAACGTGTGAACCATCTGGAGTACGTTTCCCTCGTTACGGAGATGTCGACACCAGGGGGAGGAGCATATTTGGATAATTCGTGAGGATAGTGACGGTGAACGTAAAGAAAGATGTACGCGACACATGTCGGAAAAACACACACACCGTACACAACACCATCACACAAGCTGGGCTGGGATGGTGTCTCTGTCGGTTTGGGGCGATACTCACTCTTACAACAACTCGAGATCTGTAAACCAAACATATCAGCGTTTCACCTCATGAATCACGGTCCACGCACATGAATGTCCACAGGCCCGTGATATGTATACACTCTCGTGGTACAGTTATCAATGTCCTTCTCTCAATCTGACTGAGTAATACAGATCGCATTAAAATCGGTAACTTGTACTTTTCATTGTTCAAACTACATCTTGCTTCCTAATCCTCTAATTATCCAGTCAAACTTACAACCCAGAACAATAGAACTCATTTTTCTCTGAATGCTGAGGTACAGTCTGTTCGGTGCGATGGAAATGTTTATGCTAACCAACTAAGAACACTGGAAAGCTGTTTCGTCCGGTTTAGGACTCGTCAGCAGTGCGTACTTTTTGAGTCCCTGTCAGGACTCGAACTGCGATTCTTCGGACACATCATCAACGGTGCCCGGTACCTGTGAAAAAACCGAATGGGCTAATCCAAACATCCAACATCTAAATACGGTCAGTTCAAATAAATCCAATCATGAGCTTTTTCACAACGAGAGGAAAAGAAAAACGTGTACTGAAAACCCAGACAGTACTGTACAACGGTTTTGACCTTGTGCAGTCCCATCCGCACTGTTGCTAATCCAGCAATCCAAATGTAGAATGAAACACACGGAATGGGCAAATAAAACAAAACATTGTTCTGAATGGACTACCGGGCAATGCTGTGTTCCGAGTTGCAGAGATTTGAAGTGTGCGGTCAGTTCAAATCAAAATTACAGAAACTAAACATAATTTCAATGAAAATTCTACTCACTTCCTAACAACCACCAGACCGCTGACCTCTGACTGCATTACAGTCGATATCTCAACCTCCAAAGGACAAGCAGCCCGGCTGAGAAGCATATCACAAGTTGACTGCATCTGCTTCTGGATGTTCCCCAGTTTGTTCACAGATGATGTGGATGTTGTTGCCAATCTGTTTTACTTGATTATCAACTTCCGGCAAGAACTCATTCGAATCTGTCCAGTTTTTCATTCTTCAGTGGGTTTCAGTTTTGATTCAGCTCGCTAATCACTAATTCGGTAGGTACATTACTGGTTGTTTTATCGAATGATTGTGTTGCACGGGGCGAAGGGAAGTTACTCACAAACACTGGACCCAATAGTCTGTGGTACCAGATAGTTTTACTCCCATTTCAGTTGGTCGCTTCTACTTACACATAATTCGCGGACCGGATAACAACACTGCAAAAATTGATGGATTCTATCGCTATGTCAGATGGTTTTCTCTCTTTTAGACCTCCAAGTGGTGTTCAATTATTCATAACAAATTCACACAATTTTTCGTCTCTATTCGGAACGTGACAAATTAAGATGGATGACGTTCACCAGCAACGTTTATTTGAATGTACTCAAAATCAAAATTTATCACAATCGTCTATTGATCGCTCGGAGTAATGGGAAAAAATGTCATCTTTCGCTCACTCAGAGGTGCAAACATCTAGGGGTGGAAAGATTTCGGTTGATGTGCCGGAGACCACGCTACACACGAGATGACGTAAGAGATATGCAGAGTGGTATCTCCTTCCATCAGTGTTGGAGCAAAACAACTGTCATTACTGGATGTGTCGGTTGCCGTCATCTACAGAACAAATTTCGGTTCATTCACTGAGGATGTGGTTTCCACGGTTTGTTTCGCCACTACGTGAGGAATGAAAAATCCATTCAGTCTACCTCTCTCCGTCCCCCAAACCATCGTCTTCATAATTGACCTCGAGTAAGTTCACTCTCTCAAAGGTGTGTTTCGCAAATAAATCTTGTTCGCATTCGTGGGGGTGAGCACAATTACACAAACTGAAACAGAAATCCATTATGGTGCGTGTTTTAGAAACACACATCGACAAGTGATCATTTAAAACTTTGCGTAATTTCTGATTAAACCGGGACTCATTCTCTCTCGACATGCAGTTCCCATTCAGTTCTCTTAGGTGCTTGAAACGAATTATGACCTGTATCGCAAAACTCCAACAGTACAAAGATCTTGGTAACTCGGTGGCCACTGTCTTTAGCCTACACACTTCTCCCCTACTTTGTAGCTTAAATTGTGATAACGTCCCAGCTGAAATCAACAAACTCCGGCAATTTATCTGTTGTTTTGATAGTCAGATCCATCTTTTCAAAACAATCTATCAGATTTGCACGCGATCGGCTTAAACGATGTGTGCAAGCACCGCACGATAGACCAGGCGAATCTGGTTGAATCGTCCTTGATTGATCCAGCTAATGTAATGGCCGAAAAGCTTCGGTAGATCAAGAAGGTAATCGATTTATCATTTCAGGTAATCGATTATTTCATGTATATGCTTATTTTATGCTCGATAATGTTTAACTCTGCTATTAAGCTGTCAGTTCGTAATCCGTCTCCCTCTCTCTCTCTCTCGTTGGTCTCGATCGGGATCAAGAACTGGGAGCGCATTGCAGAAGAGGTTGGCGTTATAACAAAATGGAACAAGGCAAAATTGGGAGTCATCTGCAGCAAGTGTCACATTCACCCAACCTACCGCTTCCCCCCGTCGGCTAGTCATTATGAAACGATTAGATGTCAATGAAACTGATACACCGACCAATACAGAGATTTGGCCCCAGAAAGCATCGACTAGCATGACCGTTCTGACCTTTCTGTTATCTATATGAATGGCAATACCAACCGGTGGATATAACTTCTGATTGAGGTTTAGTATTGATGAGTTGATCTCTTTATATCCTTTTCAGTTAGGTTATGATGAATTATTGAAAAACGGTGAAAACAAAATGATGGACGATTTTCATTATTTCTATGATGTATCCGATAGATAAACTGATGGATGTAAACGTGTATGTCTGAGCTAAAATTAAGATACCCCTTAAACTTTCTACTCCATTTGGAGGTTCTATGAAAAGACAGAAGACAACAGTTATAAACCGCACCTTGGTATACCGTTGTGATGCAAACTGAGAGCAGCTCGAATATCCTCGGTCGTGAGAGCAGCTGCTGCCATGGCAGCCAATGTGGCTTCTTCGGCCGTGATATCCGTTTGCACCGCAATGGATTGTTGAGTTGGGGCACAATCCTTGGGCAGATTTGATGTCTCATCCGCACCCGCATGATCCCTTCCCGAATTCGTGATATCCACACTCAATCCACGACGTGCGACTTCCACGATAATTGGTTCCTTGGCTTGACGGAACGCTTGAATCGCTTGGTCGTGAGTGGCATTTCGAAGGTCCTCACCGTTAACCTAA